GATCACCAAACTAGGGACCATGGGGACTTACAGTACATTTGCTGCCTGCATGGACCTTCAAAAAAAGAAACGCAAATTTTAAATAACATTTAAAAATAATGATCGAAAGTGTTTATGTCATATTAAGGTCTGTTTTGAAGGTTGAATATTGTTGTTGGTGTGGTTTAGAAGAACATGCGTTAGCAAATGCAACCACAAACTATTTTGAATGGTTTTATCGATCACGATTGTCATGATGAGGTTGACTGTTATGGACTGACTGACTGAGTTTGTGTTTACACCGCTTTTAGCAATATTCCAGCAACACCACGGCGGGGGACACCAGAAATGGGCTTCACACATTGTACCCATGTGGGGATTCGAACCCGGGTCTTCGGCGTGACGGTGGGGTAGCCACTAGGCTACCTCACCGCCCCGACTGTTACGGAACACAAACAAAAGCCGAAACTATTGCTTTTCACGTGCAAAGCATGAGTACAACCTATGACTGTAAAAGACCCAAATCTGGCAAATTCATCCAAGACACTTGTAAATACTGGATGAGAAAACGGTGCCGTCCAAGGCTATCTAACGGCCGCTTGATATATCGACCAGATTCTCTGTCCTCACGTGCATCGCCTTGTCGACCGCCAAAGAGAGCTGTACCAACAGGACAACGCCAGACCTCACACATCACGTGCTACAGTGGACTACCTGGACAATAACAACATCAATGTCCTCTCCTCGCCCTCCAGATCCCCGGATCTGAAACCAACTGGCTATTTGTGGGATCAGATCGATAAACGTGAACGTCAACGTCGTAATCCGCCAATGACCCTTTAACAATTGTTCAACATGCTGCAGGAGGAATGGAGAATGATTTCACAACGAAACACACAACAACTGATTCGATCTGTGTCAAGGAGGTGTCGTGCAGCTCTAGCAGTAAGAGGTGGTCATACAAATTAGACATTTCTTGTGAAATGTGCACCAGATACCAATGTATTGCTCTACATAATTTCAATGCTGTACCGTTTAATTTCGTTGATTTATAATTGAATAAGGCCAAATGTTTCAATGGTATTTTGCTTTTGCGTTTCTTTTTTTGAAGAGTGTATTTTCTTCAACATCTTATTGATTTGTCCTGGGGACATACCAAAGAGATCCAGTTAGTTTAACTGAAATACATCTAGTAGTTTTTGAGTAAAGTTGCTAACACATACATACACACACAAACAGGGTTGAATGCATACGCTCTGCAACAAACCTTCGGTTTGGCAGAGGCAATTACGATCATAGTAATTATTATGCATATGTATCATTGAGATTCATGATATATAATGATAGTTGTAAAACACACATCACAAGATACATTTTGAAAAGCTACATGTTGTGATAGGTTTATATAGATATGTTTTCTCACATTGGTGCTGCAGCTCGATTATGGGTACCGATGTTCAGTTACCCCAGAATGACACTTATAAGTTATAATCATCAGAAAAATACTGATTACAATTATCATTGATTCCAAAAGGTAACATGCACTTTCCACGGAAAACATATTTGCATATACACTGAGGGGCAAAAGAAACGATACCAAACTTTAATGGGGGACAAATTGGATTTGAACTCAGACTTTTTAGGTGGTTTGGAACAGAAAACCTTCGCACGAACGCAACTGAAACGGACCTGCGCCAAAATACATGCATTTGGAAATGGAAAGTCATGAAAAATGCATTTGACTGGCAATTTTTCATGCACGTGCAAAATGACGTGCATGGGTCGTATTGAGTATAAAAGCACATGGAAATGTTCGCCAGTATCAGATTGCAACGTTAACATCATCGACCATGCCAAGATTAACAGCAGAGCAAAGAGAACGGGCACTTGGTATGATCCAGCTTGGTGCGACCCACGACCATGTTGCCCGAATCTTCAACTGTATTCGTTTGACGATCACCAGGCTTATGGCACGTTACAGGCAAACGTCACGACCGCCGCTGAAGACCGCTACCTACGTGTGTTACACTTACGTAACAGGTTCCTCGCGGTGACGTCATCGGCAGAGACAGCGCTCGGCCATCGTGTCAGCAGACGAACGGTGTCTAGGAGGCTACGTTTGCACGACCTTCGCGCCTACCGACCCTTCCGTGGCATAGCACTGAGCCGTCAACATCGACGTGAACGTCTGAGATGGGCACGCCAAGTTGCAGGCTGGCAGAACAGGCAATGGGCTCGAGTACTCTTTACAGATGAGAGCAGGTTCCACCTTAACAGACCAGACGGCAGGATACGGGTACATCGACGCAGAGGTGAATGTACTGCACGTTGCTGCGTACAAGAAGTGGAGCCCTACGGCGGTGACAGCGTCATGGTTTGGGGAGGCATAATTGGAGACAGAAAGACAGACTTGGTGATCGTAGACGGTAACTTGAATGGTCAAAGGTACATCGACCAGGTTCTCCGACCAGTCGTCTTGCCATTCCTGCAGCAGAACCCCCGAACTGTCTTCCAACACGACAATGCTCCATGCCATACAGCACAGCGCGTTAGGGGTTTCCTTAACGCTAACAACGTTCACGTCTTACCATGGCCAGCACGTTCCCCTGACCTCTCCCCCATTGAGCACCTTTGGGACCATCTTGGGAGGCAAATTCGCGCCAGACCACATCCGCCTGCCAACAGGAGAGCTCTTGCCAGAGCACTGCAAGACGAGTGGAACAGGATCCAACGTCCGGTGATCAGACGTCTGACGTCATCTGCCCGACGTCGAGTTCGAGCCTGTATCGATGCTGGAGGAGCACACACTCGATACTGACTCTAACTTGTGGTAAAATGTGCTCAAATGACTGTTTCAGTGGGACTGTGTAAACTTGTACGTGATCGAATACTGGACAATCGACCCCACCCTCTTTAATTGTTGAATATCTGTACCTTCTTTGGTTATGACTGTATGAATTTACGATATGTTGTAGTTGTTTGATTGTTCTGAAAATATAAATTGTCACCTTATGCTTATGACGTCTTGTTTTTTCTCACGTTGTGAAATTTACTTGGTGTCGTTTCTTTTGCCCCTCAGTGTAAGCACTAGTTCGTTTTCGTCAAAATGTAAACTGTAACAATACATTGCACCATGGGGGCGGCCATGTTGTAGGACCCTGTAAAATACTCCCTGAATTCTCATTGGTCACGTTTGCCTGTTGCCATAATGTAACAAAACTAATTACCAAAAGGCCTTATATTTAATTTATGAACGGGTAATTTTGGTTTTCATCATAACATGCATTAATGAGATCAGACAAAATTCCATCCTTCACTAAGTATGTAGAGGCATTTCTTTCACAATTTTAGCCTAAGCACATGGCCTACGTCATCTACACACAATCATAAACACACATTTGGAAAACAGAATGACATGTTTAAACGTAAAATTATTTATTTTGTAAATAGAAATGTTTGAAATCAATTTCTGACAAAAGTAAACATTTAACTGCGACAGCTACACGTTTACTGAATCCGTCGGAAGTGGAGAGGTTTCGGACAGGGCCTCCTTTCACAAAGCACTAAGGTGATCGTAAGTCACAAAGGTAACCTTAGTGCAATGTTAAAGAATGGTAGTTAAGGTTAACCTTAGTAAAGGTTGCTTCGTGAAAGGAGCCCCAGGACAACTATTTCTAAAGCGACGTTTCGGTGTTGGTTCTAACACCGTTATCAACGTCACTCTCACAGCAATAAAGAAGTTGTTCATCCATATATTGTTATCCTTCTTTACTGCCCCAACTTTTACAAAATGCCTCTCGGGGCGGTGGGGAAGTCTAGTGGTTAAAGCGTTCACTCGTCACGCTTAAAACCCGGGTTCGATTCCCCACAAGGGTACAATGTGTGAAGCCCATTTCTTGTGTCCCCCGCCGTGATGTTGCTGGACTATTGCTAAAAGCGGCGTAAAACCATACTCACTCACTCATTCACTCACTCACTCACCAATGTTTTTTACGGACTTCTAATATAATCTTACTCAAAATATCCTTCAATAAACGCCTTGCTCGTTAATAAGGTTGGCAAACCTGATCTTATCGAAGAAAAATAATTTGACTCATCAGCGAAATTATTGATAGAAAAGTCAGACATGTACGCAATTGTGAAATCCGATGTTGTGATTATCGGACAAACAATTTAGAGTAGGTGATAACTAAAACATCAACTTTTTACATAACAATTTATTAATTTTCTTCTCTGTTAAAAGTGTTATTGTTTGATAATTGTGCTCTGTTGTAGTTAAAATTCAGTCAGATAATTTTCAATCTCGGTTACATATAAGACAACAGTGCGTTTCTTTGTTTCCCAGAAGCTTGGCTATGTACACAAATATGTGCCCAAATAATTGGTTAGACATAATTCGCCCCAATAGGTCTTCACGTAGACAAGATTCACTTCTGTATATTCTGAGCACGTGCAGGGGTTTATCATGTTTAACACAGGAACACTGAATTATTATATGAAGCACTTCATCCCCAGTATCAGATGTCATGTGGCTAAAAACCTATGTGTATATATTTTGGCCGCTTTTGTTTGTAACATTCTTCTATCTATAAGCTACCGGTGTTACTTGCAAAATGGATATATTAGGTTGTGAGTGGGTGAGTAGATCGTTTATATCGATATACCATATTATACCTAAATGTACCTAATAACGAAGATCATACGTAGTAGTATTCTGATGGCGCCATGCGCGAAATGATTTCACTTTGGACAGTCAAAAGAGGCTCTGCTATCAGGGCGTCCATAGATGGAATGATATGAGGTGTTCATGAAACGTATTATTCCCTTATCAGATTCCGTTTTACATGAGAGCACGAACACGTAGACAAAAGGATTTAACTGCTTGTGGTAAAGCTGACTGTTGCAAATGCGAATGTTGAAAAATACTTCGCTTTTTACGTGTCCAGATTGTGCATCGTTTCAAGGGATATAACTCTGTCATGCTTAACGCTATTACAGTGAGGATTCATCAGGATACCTAGCTGGCCCCGATTTCTCGAAACAAACTTAAGTTTTTGCCCAAGTTTCAAACTGAGTTTGGCAATTTTAAACAGCTGAATTTTAACTCAACGGCATTTTTAAAATAAAAAAGTCCAAACAACGTAAGTAATCTATCCGCCAAACTCGAATTATCTACTAAGTTTGAGTTTAATATCGAGTTCAGTTCATTCTGGGAAATGCATTTTCCTGCGTTTTCTCAAATTTGAGTAAAAACTCTAAATTAAGTCAAAACTCAGACTTAAGTTTGTTTCAAGAAATCAGGACCGGTTGTGTCTGCAATCACAGAGAGTTATGGTCGGTTATGTCTGTAAACAAAACAGAAGCATCGTTAATTGAACGGTGGATATGTTTTTGGACCTTTTTCGTGTTTCATATTTGTATTTTGGCGCAAATCTTTTACGCCAAATTCCAACCAGTAACAAATCTTTAATGAATTATATGTTAATTCAAGTAGTCGTGCGGTTTAAACGCTAATGCAAGTAAGAGATGTTTCTTAAATCATTTTAGATGTCAGATGTCATTTACAGTTTCACATAAAAGTATGTTCTAAAGCAATGCTACTATACAATACAAAACTTATCCCTACTACCAATTCATTTACTATCCCTAAATTTAATTAGAAAAGGTAAGTGTACGTGAGGTAATTCTTCCATTTTCGTGATTGCGATAATTCAGATTTTGTCCATTATTTTCAAATTATAGTATATATACTAAACATCGAACACGGATACCTATTTAATGTCGATTGGATATATATGACCACTACATGGGCCTACAAAATACCCTTGGAATTGATGGAGTGTGGTGCCACTGTGATCACAATAAGTGATTGGACAATGCACATGCATTACCTTTTTAAAAATACGCAACCACACGCCCTTCCTCTACCACAAACTCATGTGTGTCCCTACGCTTGATGAAGCTGAATCTCACTAGTTATTTCTTGAAACCCAGAGGTTGAACTGCCTAGTATAAACAGGGAGACTCTTTGATATCTACTTAGCTGTAAAGACAGGGAATCCCGTGTTTATGGAGGACAACTTCGAGGGCTTTGGCGTTCTTCTTAGACTTGTTTGTCTGTGAATCTAGTCCCTCCTTTATTCACCTGTTATGTCTGATTATCCTCCGCTCAACAAAACTACAGGTGGATTAACTACCCTTTGTTTTCACTTGTCCTAATATTTGCCGAGCGTCCGAAGCTGTTGGCAAAGCCGAGTGAGCGGGTCCCATAGAGTCCGACATTCCCAGCATAGTGCTTCATAAAGCCGCGCTTCCTCCTCCACACACCAATTTACTCCATCACATGATCACTGTACACATTGCGCATTTATAGCATAAACATTGTTTAAACAGCTTCATATCGTGACGTTGACACCACTAACCTGCAACTGTTGAGTAGATACAAATCAGTCATGACAGGACTTGTTTTTCAAGCTATCGCATGTTTTTCTTTTAAACGTTTTCCTTATTTTTCACAGTTTCTTGTTTTTGTGGACAGCATGTGGAAAATATATGAATACGAATTTCTTTCCATATTAATACACGTAGTAATATAGGTGTAATTGTGTTTTTTCTTTTAGTTTTGCTGCGATATGCTTCAATATTAATGATAATAAAACTACGAATATGGTTCACAAGATTTAAGTTAATAATAATTTTGATGCAAATCATTCTACAGTGATCTATACCAACTCTGAAGAGCATATCCCATGTCATTGTAAAGTATTGAAGTTCTTTTTTTGATTACAGCAACTGCCTCGAGTTTGAGTCAGTCAGAAGATAAAGATGATGATCAATGCCATTGTAGGTGTCTCATGTTGTACTTCAGGTCTTCCTACATTTCCAGTAGACTCGGTCTACACTTTGTGTTTCATAAGCAGGATTTTGTATCCACCACGCACTAAATTCTCGTCGCCTTGGCCACGAGGAATGTAGCTTATTTTTATTTGTGTATTGGAATGTCATTTAAAATTGATACAATTTAAGGGAGAGAATTCATGGATGCCAATTTATTTATTACGAGGAAAACAACGATCGGGGTAAGTGCTTATTCTTTCACCAGGATGTGAAGGGGTTCGAATGTACTGATGAAGCTACATATACACTTCTTCATTATTATGAAGCAGACATCCATACATCCTCTCCTTTAATTTTTCATGGTGAGAAACTTTCATAATCCGCTATTCCCCTCACTAACCTGCACTTCTGGCGATATTGAAGTATACTGGTGAGCGTCGTAACTGCTTGAGATATGTGTCGTTCTGGTGCCATTGAGGTTTACAGATGCGCGTGGTGACTGTGTGAGATATAATGTACTAGTATACTGGTTACATAGAGGTTTACATATGCGCGTGCTGACTGCGAGATATAATGTATACTGGTGACATTGAGGTTTACAAATGCAGGGGGAGACTGTGAGATATATGTCGTATTGGCGCCATTGAGGTTTACAGATGCACGTAATGACTGCTTGAGATATATGTCCACTTTACAAAACAGTATTAACATGGAAATATATACAGCTTAAATAATGTTAATGAAATTTTTAACTGATAAAAGATATTCCCCCAAATAGTTATGATTTCTCAATGTAACCGCTGGAGTTTTTGTGCTCGCAATAAATAGATTTACTGATCGACCAAGTGGCGGTTTGTGTAATATTTCGTGGTGTAAATAATGTTTTCCTGGATCGCGAGGTAACGGTTTCAGCAATAATTCGTGTTTGCAATATTTAGATTTCGCAGAAGTGTGAGATAACGGCGTCTGTAAGAACCAGTGGCCTATATTATAAGTGTGTTGTTGTTATTTTAAAAACAAATGTTGAATATATTTTCAAAATGCAACATGAGTTTGTAAACCTTGTCTTACTTCTTTTTATTATCCCATATTCATAGGTCAGGTAAATTACATATAGTGCTGGAAATGCTTTAGTTTATATCATATTTTACAATAAATCATGCACATTGCTGAAGATCAATCACCATCATATTCTCAACGGTATTTTACGTGCCATGTTTTTGGTTTAACCCCAGGGTAGAGTAATAGGCTATTTTGTCTACATAACAATGATGTATACACGTATCACGTTCAATTAAAAAATCCAAATTTGCACTGGCAATTATTCAACATTTTAGTTTTCTGTTTCTACATAAATTTCATCCAAAGTATAATCATTACGTTTAGTAATGAAGGATGAGGATAAGTTATGCAAGAAACTCCAAATAATCGCAAAAGGATTGAATTTCTTATTCTTTTGAAAAGTACCCAAGTTTGAAGATGCCACTATATATTAAATAGTTTCATATTACAGTTTGCAATATTGCTGTTGCGACGTACACTCACTATCAAATGGTGGGTGTCAAATGTCCTGATATTTGATTTACGTCAACGGGGAGCGGTGGGGTGGCCTAGTGGTTAAGGTTTTCGCTCGTCACTAAACTCACTCAATTATGTCAAGGGGATTTACAAGCATTCATTCCATAGTTCGAGAATTTCCTCAGAAATAGCAGTGGTAACTTTATAAATGGTGAAAAAATCATATTTTGCTGGAATGACATGGACTTCAGTTGGTATCCACTAACTTACGAATTATCCAGTTGCTGACATAACCTAACATGCTTGTAAGAGGTGTCAAACGGGATCGGATTGGAAGGCTTTACTGACTTGGTTGATGCATATCATTGCATACCACATTTCGTAGGTCGATGCTCATTAATTCAATCACTGGATTGTCTGGTCCACACTCGATTACTGTCAGACTACAGAGATATTTGTTGTTCTGGCCTGACGACATATCTCCACAATGAATGTTGATCTACGTTAAGTCTATGTACAAAATGTCGAAGCAACATAAACGTTTAGTTTCTGGACACTTTTAAACAGCATGGATTTTCTAGCGGAGAACCCAGACTGAAGGCTGCTAGTTGTCTGTAGTAAGTGAACATGATACACTTCGCTCACCGTGCTGTGAAGTAACACACATGTGTCTGATTACCACACTCTCTATGTTGTAGCGTACCATATGCTGGCTTCGCGGCTACACTGGCTACAGGGAGAGAGGGAGCGCATATTCAGTTCTGCCACCTGTAGGAGCGAAGGGAGTTGACTAAAAAATAACTTGTCTGGGTCCACGGCGGATGCTCACGTCTGCGCCAACATAATGCAGCTGCTGTCGCCTTTGAGCGAGGGTTCGCCACGCGCACCGCACGAGGTGGTCGATACCATTATTACAATGTCTGCGAGCGACCTAGCCAGCTGATTAAAAGTTTTCATGGTCAATTAGCAAACGGGCCCCACAAGGTTTCATATCGTCATGATACCGCGAGCTCACTTATGTAAGCAAAGCATCTTGACGAGCCCGTCCAAGTCTAGATTAGGATTTTATCTTGCACAGCAGCGACTGTAATATTAACAAAGTGAAGAGCATGTGATCTGTCCCAACTTGTAACAGTGTGTCTGCTTTCTTCATTATTCAAAGTACGTAACGACAAAGAATTATTCTACCCCAAACATCTTCTGTCATTTCCAATTATCAACAGTTAAACGTTATCGACTAGACTCTGTATTCTGACTAGACCTTGATGTGCTTTCTAATCCAACAGTGCACATTGACAAGTCCTCGTTATAACCCATGACGGGATACACCTACCACAGTACACATTGACTAACCCTCCTTATAACCCATGACGGGATACACCTACCACAGCACACATTGATTAACTCTCCTTATAGCCCATGACGGGATACACCTACCACAGTACACATTGACTAACCCTCCTTATAACCGATGACGGGATACACCTACCACAGTACACATTGATTAACTCTCCTTATAACCCATGACGGGATACACCTACCACAGTACACTTTGACTAACCCTCCTTATAACCCATGACGGGATACACCTACCACAGCACACATTGACTAACCCTCCTTATAACCCATGACGGGATACGCCTACTACAGTACACATTGACTAGCTCTCCTTATAACCCATGACGGGATACACCTACAGCAGTACACATTGATTAACTCTCCTTATAACCCATGACGGGATACACCTACTACAGTACACATTGATTAACTCTCCTTATAACCCATGACGGGATACACCTACCACAGTACACATTGATTAACTCTCCTTATAACCCATGACGGGATACACCTACCACAGTACACATTGATTAACTCTCCTTATAACCCATGACGGGATACACCTACCACAGCACTTGACT